CAAGTGATATATATGATCGGTGGAATCCAAGATCATGTCAGGGTATCAGCTTTCTTCTCCTAGTATCACGACGTGACGACTCAACGACAATCAATCGGATCCCACGACCTTTCGGTTTGATTTGGCTCGTCTAGACATTCTGTGGTCAATCTGGATCCATGGTGGAGGCCATGAGTGCTTTCCATCAACAATATGAAACAACATAAAAATATTACATCGTGCACTAGTGGGCAGCGCTGTTTTATAGCTATAGGACACGGAAACCTGGAAGGTTTTGCGCTTCATCTAGAAATTTCTCTGACTTTTGAAAACCTGAAAGCGTGCCTTCCATTTCTTACCCCGGATGACATGCGCCCTGGCCATTTTGCTTCCTTTTGCCCTTCAGTTGGCATTGCGTGATGACACACAAAGGTAGTAATTTAACAACTCATCATCAGGTCGACGATGTGTGTGCAAATGTGGCAATCAATCTCACAATAAAAAACCTACACACATCGCTCTCAGCAGTTAGGTAAACGCCTACTTAACCACACCGATAGAGAAGAATAATCTGGGTCTTACTAAACTCATACCGCACTTTGGATATTTTCTTCCAAAAGCTACTGTATTGTTTTTCTTTCGAAAAGGCGCTCAGGTTATGGTGGAAGCAATTCATCAGAGATCATTTTAGTACTGATCATGTTTCTATATGTCATAGATTGAGCGGAAAGCACAGGCGCACGTAAAGCTATTGTTTACGAATACGTACGTGTCGCTGTCAACATGTAGTTAGTGTGATCCTGCCACTAATGCACATGGCTCTCAAGTCTTATGATCTTGTCACTGATCAAGTAAGTGATCTGCTTGCGATTGAGGGATTGATTGGTTGCTGTTGCTGATAACACGCACCTTTTGTCAATCCATCTGCAACTGGCATGCTTTTGTTTTTCTGCGCGATTGACATTGCCATGATATATATGATCATTGAGCTAGCCGCCACGCTAGTTAATCATTACGTTTCCACGACTAATTCTCTAATTATGATATGATGATGGTGCGGAGAAGAAATCAGCGTGCGTGCCCATCTCTATCGGTGTTAGTTTGACACGTCCACGGATAGATCGATTCGTCTTCATCGCCATACATGATCGATCTACCTGCCCCTACCGAAGTACCCATCCCAGTTATCACCAACGCTAGTTACCCAAAACACGCCCTTCCCCATCATCGATCAACCGGTCCATTTCCATCTGGAAAAGTTGAAATAAAACTAGGCGATTGGTGCAAACTGCAAAGGACCTAATAAGTGCACGTCCGTGGCCATCTGAACTATCCTCATTGGAATCATGAACTGTCTTGGAAACATCTCTAATCGCTTGACGTTGAGCTTGCATATATACATGTATCATGTAACCATAATCCGGGCACCGTTTTTTCTTCTTTCCTTTTTTCAAATAGGGATCATGCTCACCTCTGCATCAACTGATGCATGCATCCCTAGAATTCGGACACAGTTGCATCACTATATCACATCACCAATTACGTACAGTACTAGTAGCTAACTTTGGCTTGGCCACACTCTTAGTGAGTTCCACTAATTTGCCGAAATGACAAGTGATATATATGATCGGTGGAATCCAAGATCATGTCACGGTATCAGCTTTCTTCTCCTAGTATCACAACGTGACGACTCGACGACAATGGGACTCCACTACCATCCTTTTGCTTGGGTCATCCGACATTCTGTGGTCAATCTGGATCCATGGTGGAGGCAAAAGCAAGTCATGAGTGCCTTTCCATCAACCATATGAAATGACATAAAAATATTACACTGTGCACTAGTGGGTCGCACTGTTTTTATTATAGCTATAGGACACGTAAACCTGGAAGGTTTTGCACTTCATCTAGAAATTTCTCCGACTTTTAAAAACCTGGAAGCGTGTCTTCCCTTTCTTACCATTTCGCCTTTGGGAACGTATCCTCTAACATCACGAAGGGATGTCACGAAGCTACAGTGCAATCCCAGTGCAAAATGAAGAAGGGATGTGTCACGGGCACCGTAGCAAAGACACTGTGCGCAGTTACTGTTCATAGAAAATAAAATCTAAAATTAATTTTATTGCATCATAATTTTGTTTGTATGTCATTTTTGTAAATGTATACAGTAGATTTGTAATTTGTCAGGGTATTGTAGCTTTCCTAACATCCCTTCGTGATGTTAGAGGATCTCGTTCCTTCGCCTTTCCCCCCTCATTTGTGGCATTGCGTACTGACGCATAAAGATAATTTACTAATTCATCATCGGGTCCACGAGACGTGAGGAAATGTGGCAAGCAACCTCACAATTAAAAACCTACATACATCGCTCTCAGCAGTTAGGTAAACGCCTAGTTAACCACACCAATAGAGAAGAATAATCTGGTCTTACTGAACTCAGACCGCACTCTCGATATTTTCCCCGAAAAGCTATTGTTTTTCTTTCAAAAAGGCGCTCGGGATATGGTAGAAGTGATTCATCAGAAATCATTTCAGTATTGCTCATGTTTCTGTATGTCATAGATTGAGCGGAAAGCACAAGCGCACATAAAGCTGTTGTTTACGAACACGTACGTGTGCCTGTCAACATGTAGTTAGTGTGATCCTGTCACTAATGCACATGGCTCTCAAGTCTTATGATCTTGTCACTGGTCAAGTAAGTGATCTGCTTGCGATTGAGGGATTGATTGGTTGCTGATACTGGCATGCTATTGTTTTTCTGCGTGATTGACATTGGCATGATATATATGATCATTGAGCTAGCTGCCATGCCGGTTAATCATTACGTTTCCACGACTAATTCTCTAATTATGATACGGTGATGATGCCGAGAAGAAAGCAGCGTGCCCATCTCCATCGGTGTTAGTTTATACATCCACAGATCAATCGATCGATCCGTCTTTATCAGCTAGCACCCAAAATATCTGTCTCAAACTTAGTACAACTTTATACTAAAACTACTATAAAGTTGAGACACTTATTTATCCGTTAAAAAAAATTGAGACACTTATTTTAGGACAGAGAGAGTACCGTGATTGATGTACCTGCCTACCGATCCGTCCCAGTTATCAACAATGCTAGTTACCTAAAACGGCCCCTCTCAATCATCAGATATAATTTGTGTTTGCGATTCTCGATCAACCGGTGCCGATCGATTTCCATCTGAAAATCTGAAATAAATTTAGGCGACGTATTTTTTCTTGAATACAATTTAGGCGATGTATCGACCAGCACAAATCGTAAACATCTCCATTATCCTACTTGGAAACATGAACTATATTGGGCACAACTTTAGTCGCTTGGCATTGCGCCTTGGATACATCTATAATGTATAACCTGAATCAGGCCACAGTCCCATCACCATATCATATAATCAGTGCTAGTAGTAGCTAGATTGCTTGGGCCATATCATATCATCATTCCTTTCTTTTGCGGGGATATCATCATTCGTCGGTGCTACTAGTAGTAGCCGAAATTCGCACGGGCACGTAAGTGCAGGGACACTCGCATGCCAAGCCCTACCGTTCGCTCGATTCGCAGGGACACTCGTGAAGTGGATGAATCCTGCGCAAGCGCATAGTAAAAAAAATCCCTAATGAACTTTAAGTTTCAACGATGAATTGTTTAAAAGATATAGAACTTTTAAAATCGGAAGCCGAAATAAAAAGCTGGCAGCAGGACCTGAGTGCCCTCGTACTTGCGTGCCGTAAATCCTCGTCCTAATAGTAGCTACTCTCTTTGTCCCATAATATAAGAGCGTTTTTACACTACAAAACACTCTTATATTATGGGACAGAGTTAGTACATTGCTTGGGCCACTCTCACTGAATTCCACTGAATTTGCGAAATGACAAGTGATGCATATGATCGGTGGAATCCAAGATCATGTCAGGGAATCAGCTTTCTTCTCCTGGTATCACGACGTGACGACTCGACGACAATCGGATCCCACTACCTTTCCTTTTGCCTTGGCTCATCTGACATTCCGTGGTCAATCTGGATCCATGGTGGAGGCAAAAGCAACCATGAGTGCCTTTCGATCAACCATATGAAATGACATAAAAATATAGTAACATCGTGCGCTAGTGGGCAGCGCTGTTTTGTGGTTATAGGACACGGAAACCTGGAAGGTTTTGCGCTTCATCTAGAAATTTCTCTGACTTTTGAAAACCTGAAAGCGTGTCTTCCCTTTCTTTCCATTTCGCATTTCCCCTCTCATTTGTGGCATTGCGTACTGACGCGCAAAGGTAATTTACTAATTCATCATCCTTTTTTTGCGGGTGTTACTAATTCATCATCGGGTCCACGAGACGTGAGGAAATGTGGCAAGCAATCTCACAATAAAAAACCTACACACATCGCTCTCAGCAGTTAGGTAAACTCCTAGTTAACCACACCGATAGGGAAAAAGTAATCTGGGTCTTACTAAACTCAGACCGCACTCTGGATATTTTCTTCGAAAAGCTACTGTATTGTTTTTCTTTCGGAAAGGCGCTTGGGATATGGTAGAAGTGATTCATCACAAAGCATTTCTGTATGCCATAGATTGAGCCGAAAGCACACGCGCACGCTTTCAATCTATCGCTGCCTTTTCGTTGTCGACCGTGCACTTATTTGACACACACTCACCTTTGTTTGGATGGCTCCACAGATGTGGAGTTCTCAACCCAGCATCTTCCCCTGGTGCTGGTGGACTTTGAGCTAGTGCAACCACCATTCACCAGCCTGGGACTTTATAATTAGTAACTTTTGCACGCAAAGGATCCAGGTATCATCGACCGGACACCAATTTTTCGACACAACTTTTCGCACCAATGACTATCAAATTCCACACAAGAATCACTTGCATACATTGGCAGTTGCACAACACAAATCGATACCGTAATACATAGTGGTAAACGACCTTATTTGCACTGAAATCGACGCACGCCACATCTAGAGACACTTGTATCTTCTTCTTCTCTTTTTTCAGGGCCCTTGTGTATCTAGTCTGCCCTTGCAAACGCCAGATCAAGGAGTGTTCGGAAAAACTTGTGGGGGTAGATGGGTGGTTCCTCCGTGAGTGCCTGAATTTGGGATGATACCAACAAAAACAGAGGTTACACGGTTTAATCAGTACTGATCAGCAAGGTAGTTTCTGGAACGGTGGACAGAGAGGCGTCAGGCTTACCTGGTGAATCAGAACTGTGGAGGGAGTCATCCCAGGCACAGTGTTTACCTCTATCAACAGCACCTTCAGGATCAAATGTACGAACACTGATTAATTACCACGGCTAAGCTAACGTCCCCTTCGCTTTATAACTGCGCAAATATGACAGAGATGGAAGGAGGGAGGTACCTCTCCACTGTGAACATTAACAAATGCGTCAATGCGTGAAAACCCTTCCAAACCCAATGTGTTCGCCATCATCTCGATACAATTTTTGCACTTCTGCAGCGCATCCTCACTACAAGTGCAGAGGATACAATATCAAGTCATGATGAAGAGATGAATCTGGAACAATGTACATCTCAGCTAAAAAAAATATTCAGTAACTTTTATTTCAAAAAAGAAGGGAACTATTTCGGCAGCAAGCAATCACATCACATTGTCTGGGAACAAAGCATTCCAGTCAGCTGGTAAAGAAATCCACTGCACAACAAATGAGAAATAAGAACAGGAACAAGTATCAGACCTCATAATTGTTGCTGGAGGTGGTGTCAAGTTGATTCCAGTTCCACCTGAAAGTACCAGCATATAGCAAAGCACATAAGCAATCTGCCTTAAGACGATAAACCTTCAAAGACCTGTTCCAGACTAATCACCTTGAAATTTCTCTTCAAGAGACAAAATGTCACCACTTTCTTTGACTGTGATGCTTGGATTCAATGAATGCATCTCCCCACGTTTGCCGACGACACCAACAGTCACTTCGAGCCACTCATTTTCGCCCTTCCATACCAGATGGCGGGTACTATCATTCCTCGATTTATTTGAGATAATAATTTCGTCGGTTTCGATAAATGGTTCGAATATCAGTGACTCCGGAGGAGGGACTGGCATCTCAATAACTCCATGTGCCTAGCAAATATAGATCAGCGTAAAAATGCAGCTTAACATCAAGTTCCTCTGGCTTAATCAGTTACCAAATTGAATTTCTGGTACCCTGGATAGACAGTTAGCAGGCAGACGCGGAAGCTTTCCGCTCAGCGCATTTGCATAGACTTCTAGGTCCTCTAGACATCTGATAACAGATAATTTCTGAATGAGCTATGCGTAAGACAGCCAAAGTTACCGTGTTCATGTTAAATAGTTGGAAAACGTCAAGTGAACAGGAGCTTAATGAAATGCTCACCGCAATCTTGCCACACCAGTTGAGCATCCATCACGAGCAGGTTTCACACATACCGTTTCTGTTTGTAATTTTGCTTTCAGGTCAATCCAGATATCAGCAAGAGATGACTTTAGTAGGTCTTCTGTTGCTCTTACATCCTTTGGTATAGTGTGAATGCCATAACTAGCCAACTGCACAAGTACAAGAAAACTGGTGAACCATCTAACAAGGCCACAATCATAGCACGAGTAGTACAGCTCTAACAAATCTAACCGACAAGCAAACATTGCACTGTTAATGCATTGCGCATGGATTATATCATACATTGCCATTGCCAAAAAAAAAATCAGCATGGAATTCCTATAAAGAAGACCTGAAAGGCTCATACATGATCAACGGCAAGTGAAGTTGCAACTTTGTCCATGCATGTTCTAGAAGCTATTGGTCCTGGCCCTGCACAAAGAGAACTTTGATATCAGCATAATTTCATATTCTTAGAGTTGGAGACATATATGTATCCTCAAGCTGTGATCGCACCTGTGTAAGGAACTCCTGCAGATTCCAACAGCGATTGAATGGTACCATCCTCCCCAATACCACCATGAACTACATGTAATATATTCGATATTGAAATACCAACAAAAAACAAAGCATAGGTGTTGAGGCATAGGCCTCTACATCTGTATTTTCACTATGTGCCTTACCACTTATGTTTGGTTTTATTGTGATAGAAGTAAGTAAGTATTAACAGAGTTCATTAGTTCCAGAAATTTTCTTTCGAAATTCCTATTTTCATAGCACATTTCATCTCGCAACAGTTAATCGCGCATCCATCATAAGTTCATAAGTACATATATATACGAAAAGATGGACATTATTATGCCTAGAAAGCTAGAAGATTAGGTACACAAATATGTATTGGAAAAAATACCTGCTATGAACACTACAGCTTTAGCTTCTTTAACATAATCAATCCATTGTTGCAGAGAGTATTTGATAGGTTGTTCATCAGTGATGTCAAAGCCCGCAAACCAATCTTGCTTGCTTAATGCTCGTTCAAGTTCTTTCATTACTTGATCACGTAAGCGAGTTGTTATTTCAACCCGCTCTGGTTCAATTGCTTCGAAACATGCAGCATGAACTTCTTCAGTTGTGTGTCGTAACACTAATGAATATCTGTCACACAGTAAGAGGCTAATGCTTCAGTGAACTATAAAAACTAGGAAGAATTAAAGAAAATATATTGCTCTTCGATCAAAGACCGATGTTGGATCTTAAATGCCAACAGTTAAATAAGAATTCTGGTTTGGACTCAAGCACCCAAAAATAATGACCGGCATCATTATGCTTCTGAAAATATCATGATAACGTGCAATGAGAAGTGAACTATAAGCAAATTACTTTATCTAGCCCACCACAAACTTCAAGTCTCACAACTCGAATATGGGTGTCTATTTTATCTTTTAGTTCGTCCCACATATTTTTATACTTACCACTAGTAATTAAAGTGCCAGATACAGGGATATGCAGTGGTGGATCTAGCTCAATGGACCAGGGCAGGCCAGCAGTGGAACTGTCCATCAAAATTTACTTATAATTTTTTTGCTATGATATAAAAGCTAGGATAATCCCAGGGTGGGCGCCCGCCCCGCTCTGTCCACCCTGCGGATATGGGGTTGTTTTTTCATGTAGTGTATGACTGCATCATCACAGTTGCACTGACAGAATGTGATAAGTAAATAAGACAACCCATCTTCTGCCCAAAATTATGAAGTCCAAGACTGAAATGCAAGACAAACTTAATTCTTCAAGTTAATATACCATGTCAAAATAGTAGTTTTCAACACCAATAATGGAATAGCATTCTTCAATTTAGGTCAAAAAGTAGCATTCTTCAATATGAAATGATTGTCCCTTTCAGGCCATAGATGCCCAGGAAAGCAATTGAAATTAGGTTAATCAGTTAAGATTAAAGTAACATAAGTACTTTTAACAAACTATAGCACATAAAGTTGGAATTCTCTGTTTTCATACAGTAACTAGAAGTTGCATTGCGCAAGACTCAAAATAAGATTACTGGGTCTGCGCCGGTAAAACTTCATGTCCCGCAATTAATCAGGTGATGGAAGAAACACTTACGGCAGTGTCCAAACATCGCGTGCACTTCCGCTAAAATCTTCATTGTGGGGAGAATATCCATTCGAAGGTGCAAGCAAGCATGGTGTCACATCAAGCTAAAGGCACCAGAAGAGAAATACATATAAATCATCAGAGCATGAAAATGGAACAAAAATACATGGGACACCATACAGCCCAATAATCAGTGATAACAAAATATAGACTGAATATTAGCTGATTCCCGTCATTTAAGCATGCATGAAAGCATCAGAATAAAAACACCATGGCGGTCAAGAATTGTGCGATTAGATACTAGGAAGCTAGAGATCTTACATCATCGAAACCTTGCAAATTAAGCCAGACATTTGTGCCGCTCATAAGAGATACTTGCCGCTCTGAAGTATCACCACCAAATATCACAAAAGCCTTCTGCTTGCATGTATCATTCTGGATTATCTCTGCTTGTTTTGCAGATTGCATTTTTCTGGATAAAGCAGTCCATGCATTATTGCTTGGAACAAGGGAAGGAAAACGTGAGCAAGCATGCTGAACAATTGTACGGAGGATTCGAGAGTGAGAGAATCCAACCTGAAAAATGTTTTTTGTTCCAAAGTTAGCAGTGAGATCAAGCATTATATATGTACACATGTAAATGTCCAACACTTACTTGCAGTAATTGCATGATGATTGATGGTTAATGTTTTATACTGCATATTATTTACAAAATATAAATATCCTCAGTTGTGTTGTGCAGCAGTAATAAAAGGTGCACACAAATGAGGAAAAATCATGTAAGTCAGTTGAATTGTTTTTAATTTATAGAAACTGAAATTGCCAAATTTTGTATGTGGGAAGTACAAGTATTAGCAGCGATACCTTTGAAGCTTGTTGAAATAAGAAACTGGTTTGCTCCATCCCACTTATCTGTTAAGATGCATAACAACAGATGTCACACTCTAGAAATCGCAAGCCACACTGCAAACTTCAAGCATGAGGAAATTTTCCAGGATGCTTACCAAATTAATGTCAGTGAAAAGGACAGTACCATACTCTGTATTTCCAAATTTACCACCGTTTTCAGATGAGGTCAGAGAAGTAGCAGGAGTTGGTAAAAACCAACCATCTATCCTGGCGAAGTCACGTAGGCCAAAATGGCGAAATAAAAGAGATACTCCTTGTCTTATGCAATCAATAACCTCTGCCGGAAAACGTGGAGGTGTATGATAAGCAACCTGTGAAGGGGTAAATATTCAATGCATTGACAAATTTCATGTGAGATGAAGTTATAGAAAAGTAATGTCTCATTTTGGCAGGCTAAGTTTCAAGGGTCGACAGGAAACATCCGCCCCTTGCGAATGTATACGATTCAATCACTTGTGATATATATTTCAAATACCTGTTGAGTTGGAAGGTACTTCCTACGGTAGTTAAATATTGTATCCTCCTGAATATCGTTAGTAATTGATGACTGAAGCTCAACCTGCAGAAAAGGGGATAAAAGAAACAAGTTCAGTCTTTCTACACATCTTACAGAGTTTCTAGAGATCAAACTCTACACAAGGAACAACTTCTTTTGTCTGCCCTCGGAGGACCATGCAAAGTAACGAAAAACATTTTCAAGAACTTTCCTTATAATTAATAATCCAAAGACAGTACTCCCTCCATTTTTATTTACTCTACATATTAGCTTGTCTTAAGTCAAACTTTGTAAACTTTGACCAGCTTATAAGAAAAAATATTAATCTACAATGCCAAATCATAACCATTAGATTCTTCACTGAATATATTTTGAGATCATATATACTTGTTATTGTAAATGTTCATATTGTTTTTCTATAAACTTGGTCAAACTTTATAACATTTGACTTAGGACAAAGCTAATATGCTAGTAAATAAAAACAGAGGGAGTACTATGTTGTAAGTAGGATTTCTTTACAAATTAAAATAAGGTCACAAGTCATTGATTCTACTAAGGAAGATAAGGAACACAGATCTTAGCCTTTTCCTCTTGGATGTTGCAGTTATTTTTACAGAAACGAAAGGACTACTGGAAAACAGAACAGTCATAAAAAAATCTGAACTTGATATAAACCAGACTTCGGTCAACCATGTGAAGGAGTAAGGACCATAGGAAAACAGAGGTGAGAAAAAGATGATATAGATCTTACTTCTGTTGGAAGCAAAACGATAGGCTCACTGTTATTAGCTGTCCCAACATCAAGAATAATGGCTGTAAACTCACAACCCCCTTCAAGAAAAACTTCTATGATAACCTTATCATCAATTTCCTGTTGGACATCAGAGATATCAGATTAGGTGACACATTATTTTCTCTTAAGAAAAAATAGGAGTAACTACTAAGTACCAGGCACCTCTGAAAATATTCCCTCGGCTTCCTCAGCTGCCTCATTAGCACCATAAGCAACAACTACACCGATACTTGATCCAGCTCTCGTAGGTTTGACCTGTGAACACACATCAGGAGTTATATACTCCCTCCGTCCGGAAATACTTGTCGGAGAAATGGTTGTATCGAGACGTATTTTAGTTCTACATGCATCCATTTTTATCTATTTCTGTGACAAGTATTTCTGGATGGAGGGAGTACTAAACAAGAAAAATTTAAGGAATACATTTTCAAATAAGGTGCTTTTACTTACAATCACTTTGCCATTTTCTTTATTCAAACCGATGCTTCCAAACCATTCCTCCAACTCTGACCTGGCCAATTTGTCCTTCTACTTTTTCATAGCCGAGGGTGACACATGCAGGACACATCGTCAGGCGCCAACAGAAGAGCGTCAGAATTAGTAATCACATAAGGCACCTCCTAAGAGATCATTCATTGCAAACTCTACCAAAAATACTGAAGTCCAACCAAAATCATGGATTTTGAGACAAGAATAGATCATGCCTTCTAATTTTTAGATTATAATAAAGATATACTTTTGTCTTCCATAACTACTGAACTGTTGCACTTTTGCAAAAGATAATAAAATAAGTTTATCCTAAGTGTTTGTTAAGATTCAGTGCCCTTATTTTTCTGAAACAAGAAGCACATGAGACAGAGTTCTGAATGATTTAAAAAATTAGGGTGTCACTACATGTTTTCCTTATAAACTACATACTGTGTGTACTAAACCTTGTGTGTCTTACAAAAATATTTTGTAAAAAGAGCGTCTGTTTTTAAAGGTAATTCATATTGAATTGTGTACATAACACAGTCACAAAGATGGCTTACCTCTACAAGAAAGTTTGGTACTGTTAAGAAACCTTGAGCGTCGAGCTCGAGCGATGCATTATGCTGCAGTCATATTCAAAATTCAGGAAAATCAGGTCACACATATAATTGGGATTGTTCATATCAAGTGAATATACAAAAACAATTTCATATTTGTGGACACAGGTCACATTGCCATCAACCTTTAAATGACAGTAATGAACTAATGATACATGAAAGCTGCTCATCAGATAGCATTCGTAAAATCCACTTGTTTCATGCACTGGAAGATTTTTATTCCAATCAATTCAAACAATACTAATACTGCAAACTCATTTCATGAGATAACTCAGGTATATTTGTTAAACTAGAAAATGTTGAGGATGACACTGGAATATGCCTTCTACGTCCAAGTACCAAAAATGACACTGAAGGATGATGAAAGCACAATAAAGCTTATGGGCCAAGTGGTGACATGTCATGATTAGTAAAGCATACCTTGTCAAAAGCACGGAGGCATTCATTAGAGGGCGTCCCAACAAATGGAACATTTGCTTTCTCCAAAAGCTCCTGAATATTTTATAGAACAAGGCAAAATTATAAAACATCGCAAATACTAAATTTCTGTTGGGTAGTCGAGTATTCCAAATATTGGTGAATTGATATTAAGTTCTATACTGCAGGTATACTGCCTTTTGGTAGGCGTTAGCGTCTTATCATCAACAGAAATCAGCAGCAACGTGGGATTCTTATAAATAAAAACTACTCCACCGGTCCCGAAATATAAGACCATTTTGACACTATCATGGTGTCAAAAATGGTCTTACATTTTGGGACAGAGGGAGTAAGAGACAGTCAGCACTACATGCTAGTTCAGTGCCAAATCAAACTGAATATCTCCAAGCATGCAGCGTGGCACCAGCATAATTTTTATTGTGTGTAAAGCATTATTTAATGTTCATTGGTAACTACCAACCTGAATACCACCATCTTCACCAAATTTTCCATGTATCACCGGGAAGACAATGTCAACATTGGTAGCAAGATGTTCCGCAAATTCAGATAGGGTGGAAAATTCTTGTGCTAGACTGTAGACGGTGAAATTTGAGACTGAACAATTTGAAATGGACTAAAATTAGCAAGGAAAAGAAATAAACCCTGGCCGTAAGCTCACCTTTCAAGCTTGAAATCAAAGTCTGAAGGGGTGTTGGAATACAGCTGTGGAGTTAAACATGAGAGGCTGTCATTTTACAAACAGAGTGCTCCAATCAACAAAATACATCTTTTTCACGAGGGTATCCAAATCAATCCAAACAGAGTAGGCCAACACCCCTTCAGAATTCAACCAAGGGAATTATCCATGACCATGTGTAGAGAGACATGAAAGTGGGTTCAGATAATGCATCGCCGGATTCAGTTCAGACAAACTAACTAACACCACAGTAAGCAGCCAATGACAGAATATTCAGCTAAGAAATGTTACTGAATGATTTCAGAGAAGCGAATTCAGTACAGACAAACTATTACTCCTTCTATAAAGAAATATAAGAGCATCTAGATCACTACTCTGGTGATCTAAACGCTCTTATATTTCTTTACAGAGGAAGTATATGATTATGCATAAAGAAATCAAAGTGGGCAGTGGGCTCCTCAAATAATGCTTTCGCCGGATTCAGTTCAGACTTCAGACAAATGCATTGACACCACAGCAAGCAGCGAATGACTGAATATTCAGCTAGTAGTAGAGATTAACAAGAGCAGTTGGGCACATCGGATCACCTGAGCTGGCGATATGGCGAACGCGTTCATGCCACAGTCGATGTAGTAGCAGCTCACCAACAAGTCATCACCCTGCCAACAAATTTTTTTAAGAAGAAGAAGAGTGACCAGGCGTTGACCCAAACCCCACACAGTCAAACATTGAACACTACAGTGGGTACAGTAACCTCGCCTTGTCGGCTCATGTCGAAAGGAAAGGCTGACCTGGATGTGGTCGAGCACGGAGCGCGCGGAGTTGAGCGAGATGCCCCGCTCGGCGGAGGGCCCGCCGCACACGAGCCCGACCCGGAGCGGCCGCCCCTCCTGCCCCGCCGCGGCCGGCGCCATCCCGTCAACAGCCCGCTCCGAGACCACCGCGCGGAGCCGGCCTGGAGCGGCGGTTTCGGCGGCCGAGGAGTGCGCGCGGCGCGGGGCGAGGGCGAGGGCGAGGGCGCGAGGGCGGGCTGTAGTCGCGGTGGCGGTCGCCGGGGAGGGGAGGCGGGGTAGCAGGCGGGGCTGGGCGAGGGAGAGCAGCATGCGATCGGCGCCAATGCGGCTGGGGCCGGGGGACGGGGAGGGGGTGCAGGCAGCTGAGGTGAGACTGACCGGTGACGCGGGCGTGTGCGGTGGTGGTGGGAGCCGGCCGGAGTGGGAGTGGGAGAGGGATGTGGGCGTGTGCGTGTCGTCTTTGTAGCGGACGCGGCCGGCGCCGGCTTGTCGCTTCCGTCGGTGGCCGGCTTGTACTGGTGGTTGTGTTTCCATTCATCTGAACGGCAGCTTTTGTTTTCCGAGGATTATCATTGCATCCACTCCCAAGTCCCAACACCGCTGACGACACGTATGAGTAGTAAGCATGTTTTTTGAGGAATCACGTTCGTTGGCCGTAACCTAGGAATTAGATGTAGTGCATGAATGTGATAGGATGGCACTTGCCGTCCCAAAGAATTGATTTGCCCTGTCTAAAATAAAAGATGAGATTTGAGTGGAGTGGAGTTTTTTTCTTCGAAAACACAGAAAATGAATAGCATTTTTGAGGGAAACCATGTACTTGTGTCCTACAAACTAAATGTGTCTATAGAAAACTTTTCTCTGGGATCACCATTCTACGTTTTCTTTCCTATGAAAATCCTCGATACCGAATGAGGCCTAAAACGGATTGCATTGCATTGCCGACCAGAAAGAGATAAACGACCACATATAATCCAGCAACGAAGGGAGATAAAGGACGCCATTCGTGCATGCGTATACAAGTGCCGACTCGGCGAGATTCTTTAAAGTGCTCCACTTATACAATCGATAACGATATAATTGTCCTACTTGGCCGTCTAAACCCGCCTTTGATATAAACCCTTGGGATTCTATTAAACCATGGAAACTGCCAAAACGTTGCATCATGCTCTTGTTTCTTTAAAGTGCTGACCAAGTTTGTGGGCTCAAGCTCGCAAGGCAAAGACTCTAAAAAAACATTCACAAGGCAAAGTTAAGATCCATGCATATGCTCTGCCGACCGGCAATGTAATGTTTATGCAGTAACTGTAGACTATGCATTCATACACTATATGCTACCTACTTCATTTTACTAGAATGGCTTCCTGTTAGAAAAATAGATACCTTCATTATTCTTTTGTCAGCAAACAGCCGGCTTCATTTTGTTTTGTTTTGAGAGGTAACTGGTTCATTTTATTTTCTTGGATTTATTCTAGATTTTTTTTGACAATGTTCGTTCAGTGGGAGACGATGCTTTTGTCGACTATGAGACGACCGTGCCGACTATCAATCCCAAAATTTGTAACCTCAATCTCTCGTAGGTGCTCACAAAATAAGATGTGCATACGTATTTGTGCATACGTAGTCATTACAAAACCCATGACGAGCGCATGTATTTGTACTGTGTTTTTTAGAAATATAACCGGCTATTATTATTTTTCATTCTAACTCGGGCTTTTAGGAAAACTGTCATTTATTACATATCAAAGTTCATAGGTATGATAAGCTAATACGCTCTTAGCTAAATTACGAGGACAAATTTACCCATAAAGTCAAGGGCTAAGGGCATCTCCAACACTGCGCCAAATATCGTCTATGTGTGTGAACCGGATGGACTGGACACTTCTAGATATCCCACGCTACCTCTCAATTGACCATGGGCATGGACAGACGTCCGAAATCCCCTTGTTAGCCCCCAAATTGGAGGGAGCTCTAGGGAAGTTTGGACAACCCATGGGAACCGCCAACTCGGACTCCATCACAAACCCACCTTTTTCTTTCCTCCGTTCACCTCTCTCCATTTGGACAAGGGATGGACAAGTAGGGTATTTGGGGGAAATAGCATTGGGTGGCCGGTGCCCGGACATGCCCGCGGATATTCAGGGGCTTCCGTTTGATGAACGACTCTAGAGACGGCCTAACAATAGAGCTCACTCAGGCCTCACTGAGTGTGCTACAATATTACTCCCGAGTTTGTAATCCATCTTTGTATTGCTAATGTAGCCCAAAAGGAACTGGGAAAGGCAAACATCGCTAATTCAGTGTAACCAGTGGCGAGTCTTGGCTCAAAGTTAACGGTGTGAAGAAAAAACCACTAACTCTTAGTTTTTTAGTTCAAATAAGGTTAAAATTTTGATACAAGGCTGAACTGAATACTAGTAACTTTTTTTCCAATTTTTGGAGGCGGGGCTCGAGCTTGTGGAAGCACCCCCCCCCCCCCTAGATTCGCCACCGGGCGCAACTGACCATGCAACATGGCGAAGGGGGAGCGTTATGGCTTGTCGAAGTCACGCCGGGCAATAATATCTCGCTTATAGCGAGATAGCGCGCGCGTTGATCACGTCCGTGCGCCGATCACTCAGGGCGCCGCACAGAGAGTGAGTCAGCTACATTCTGTAGTGTAGTCTAGCGTGGATCTGTGGGTTTCCTTCTTCTTTTATTTTTCTTTTTTCCCATTGCATAAAAAAACCAAAAAGTTCAAAAAGTTTGTGAATTCAAAAAAGTTAGTGAATACAATTTTTTTGCATGTATTTGAGAAAATATTAGTGAATTTGAAAAAGTGCATGATTTCAAAAAAATGTTCACGAATTCATAAAACGTTCATAGAGAATTTAAAAGATGTTCATGTATCTGAAAAATGTTCATGCATTCAAAAAAATTAGGAATTTAAAAATATTCATGAATTCAATAAATGTTCATGAATTTATAAAATGTTCGTGAACTGATTTTTATAATTAATTCAAAAAATGCTCACGAATTTGGGAAATTTCCATGGAGAATTCAAAAAATGTTTGAGAGTTCAAAATGAACAAGTTTTGAAATCCCTAACAAATTTTTGAAAAATGTGAAAAAAACTAAATCTATGTATACATTCTTGAAATAGTGATTTTTTAAAATAAATTCCCAACATTTTCTAAAAACACAAACAAAAATGTACAACTTTCAAAAAATTTAACAATTTTTTGAACTTTTTTTAGAAATTTCTGAAATAAAAAAACATAAAAGGAAAAAAAGAATAAAGAAAGGAAAAAACCATAATAGGAAAAAAACCGAGAAAACCAATAAAGAAAACAACCAAAACAATTAGGAAAAACGGCCCGGAAGCCAAAAAAACTAGAAGAAAAAAACTGCTACCTGAGCTCTTCCTACTCCGACTAATGGGCCGGCCTACCAGGAGCGCTCTAGTGAGCGAGCACTGTGAGAAGTGTTGCTGTGAGGGACTCGTATCATTTGCGAGTCCAGGTGTACCCGATGTCTGCCAGCCCGCAGACATCAACTGCCTCCCGGAAACCATCGATCTGTGGTTGGCTTCGACTGCCGATTCCATCATGTTCGTCTAAGTTTAGTACCTCGTTGAAATCACCAATAACCGCCCAAGGCCTATTCTGCATCTCGGCTATGTTTTTCAAGGTGTTCCAAGTATTGTGCCTATCTGGTACTTGGGCTTCTCCATAGATGAAGGTAATCCTGACCTGCATGTCCACCATGTTATCTACTAAAACATCAATGTGGTACCTCGAGTAACCGATAACTTCAACGTTTATTTTATCATTCCAAAAAATACATAGGCCACCACTCCTTCCAGAACTACTAACTGCATAACTTTTATTGAAACCTAATCCTTCTGCCAAATTTTCTACTCTCGAACCCTCTAATTGTGTTTCCAGAATACAAAGAATAGAGGGGGCAAACTGCCTCGCTAGGTCGCGAAGCTCCCGAACGGTCGCGGCTTTGCCAATTCCGCGGCAGTTCCAGCAAAGAAGACTCATTGCGCTAGGCGAACCCCTCCCTGGGGGCTCGCCAAACGCGCATCCGGGGTCTTGTTAGATGTTGCATTCTTAGCTGTGTTTGTCTCTGCAGATGAAGGGCCCGGTTTGTTTCTCTTCGTGTCTTGCTTTGATGTAGGGCTTGGTGGAATCGGTGGAGGCAGCATGAGAGGAGCCTTGCTGGATTGCACTTGACGTGGTGCATGTGAAGCTTTTTGGTCAGCTAAGGCACTTCTTTTTCTGTTGCGATCTGTATCTTCCATGGTGACGTCCTTGAGCGTATGATTTGCCTCCTCCTGATCCTGGCTGCTCGCTGCTTCACGGTTCCCCGCTGAGCGCCCCCCTCCTCTTCCTGTCCGGCCTCGGCCACGGCCGCATCTGGTGATGTTATCTTCTCCCCGTCCCCTTCCAGGGTTCTGGAACCAGCTCGCTTTTATATCCTTAAAAAAAGCAACTTTGGAGGATGAACGCCGTCTCCACACTCTTTATACAGATGGCCTAAATATCCACACACCGCACACCAATCCGGCAATCTTTCATATTTGATTCTGAAGATGACACGCTCGACCGTATCCTTCTTCTGAACCACCAGCGAGACAACATTTTTCAGAGGTTTAGTCACATCTATTCTCACTCGTACCCTTGCAAAGTTGCCCTCGAAATCATGTGACTTTGGCTCGGCAAATATGAACTCACCCACCATGGATGACAAGGCCTTTATCTTGGAGAAGTAACCATCTGGGAGATCATGTATTTGCAGCCATATGTCTATCTTCTTGAGCTCAATCGTTGACGGCTCCGTGAACCCTTCATAGGGCGCCAGAACCACCGCCTTCCCCTTAAAATTCCATGGGCCGTCCTCCATTACTCTCTCCCAGTCGCCAAGGCACGAGAATTGGAGGGAATAGAGATTCTCCTTGAGTGGCCTGATCTTTACCTCCTTCGCTAGATCCCACGCCACCCTCATACCTCTATAGAACCAATATTGGCTATAGGTTTTGTCGGTGTGAACCCTAGCGATCGCCATCCAGCGCGTCTCCTCCTTCGGCAGTTCTCCATCCTCCACCACGACGTCCTGCGGATCATCTTCCTTGAGGCCCAATTCCTCCATCAATGCTTCGAGATTGGACGTGGCCGAGCCCGACGCTGATGCAGTTGAATCCATGACCCTCTCGCTCGGGGTTTTTTGGTTCCGCGAGCGGTACTGTCCCAAGCTCCATTCCCTCTGCGGAGCCCCCGCGCCTCCCGGACGCAGCAAGCCCCAGCCAGCGGGCAGACGATAGGGGAGATCGATCTCTACGGTGATGGCGTCGCCGTCACCCGAGAGGAGATAGAAACCCTAACTTGAGGGGAATTTGTATCTGTTAGAAGTCTAGTGAATCCTAACTTGTTTGACTTTCAAAAAGCATGTTGCAGGAGGCACATTTACTCGGGTAAGGCTGGATAGATGCCTAGTGAATCCTAAGCGGCTCATGGCATTACTAGCAACTGCATTGCTCAAGAATGCGG